ATTTTGATGTTTCTTCGAATTTTGTTGATTTGCACTAAAGTAATTTTTTTTGTCTTGATTTTGCAATTGCAGCTTAATGAAAGGCATTGATCCTCCCCTTGAAGGTGTCAAAAATTTGGTTGAAGTTACACCTGCTTCAAGTTACAATGTTCAACATACTGTATATATATTACTATACATTACTATACATTACTATACATATAGTAACATGTAGTTACATATGCCTATTTTTCTGTATTTTCGATTTGTATTTTTATTTGTTCTGATGTGATTTTTAAGAAAACTATTGATTTTTGTAAATTTTTGTTGGGCTTTATGAAATTTTTTTGTATAAGCCATTATTCGTGTGTATACAATTGATCGACTAAAAATATGGGGTACAAAAACGAACATAACTACGAATTAATATAGGTACTATAGTTATATGTAGTTATTTTCAGGACAGTAAACATATTGTTTTGAATATTAAAAAAAATTAAAAAAAAATTATTATTTTTTAAATTAATTTTGTTTTAAATTAAAATATATATATATATATATATATATATATATATATATATATATATATATATATATATATATATATATATATATATATATATATATATATATAAATTTAACAAACAGGTTAATTATTTAAAAAACAAAAACAAAAAAAAAAAACAAAAATAATAATAAATAAATCAGCGAAAATGATAAATGCAGGACCAGAAATGCTGAATGCAGTTTGGCCGAAAATTGCATATAAGGGTAGTATAGTACTTTCACTTCTTCAGGGGGTATGTCAAATGATGATTTGGGCTTGAGTTTATCCCTAGTTTATTTGGTGGCTAGTGGTATTTAAAATAACCCGTTTACTTATATTGAACTCTCTAACTATAATTTTCATCTAAATGATATTTATTCTTAACATAAATAAAATATAAAGCATCATGAGAATTTTTACAATGATATTTACCATTTAAATTTAATTATACATCTGAATTTGTTTTTAGTGTTATAAATAATTCTTGACGCATTATTTTGATTAAATAAATTAAAATCTGATAATAAAATATTATTTTGTTTTTAGAGCTAAAAATAATAATAAAACATTTAACAAATTATATTATAAAAAGATAACATACCAACACTTGCAATTAATTAGATGAAAGTTAAAATAAATTTATACATTCGAGTTTTAAGATCACGAAAATAAATACATTTTATTGTGGTAAGAGAAAAATATAATTTTATATAAGATCGAATAAAAATAAAAGCAAATCAAAATAAAACAAATTACATCATTATGTAAAATAATGGAAGTTGAAGAGAATTATTATTGAACATGATGATGAGATTCAGCTTAAAGAATGGTATAATTGAGGGGATGTAATAAATGTCGTTCGATCTTTAATAATACCGTTACGAAAACGTGTTTTTTTTATCATTTTTAATTCCAAATTTTGCAAAACCTGAAAAATAGAATTTGTAGTATTTTGAGTTAGTTTTCTAATCCAACTTGAATCACCAAAATTGGATGTCGGACGAGAAATTTATACATGAATCAATGGATATTGCCCACAACTTTGATGTGTTGAGATATCTTAAATCCAAAATGAGACTCATTCATGCATAACTTTATCACACGGCATCCAATATAGAAGATTTAAGTAGAATTAGAAAGCTAACCCAAAGGACTACAGTTTTCGTGTTTCGAATTTTGCCGCAATCAAAATATAATATGTCAAAATCAGGTTCAAAGTCAAAAAAAGACTATACTAAAATTGAAACGATATTTAACATTTCAGATAATTGAGGGAGGTATGTGAAGATTTTAATAGTAAAAATAAAGTAAGTGAAGGTTTTCCTTTACATAGGGAAATTAGCTGGAAGCCCTAAAAAGTAAAATGCTTTTTGGGTATGAATATTGATATTTGCAGTTCATACCCCAAAAAACACTCTTTAAAAAAAATCCAAAAAAATTTCTCCCTCTAAAAAATTTTTCAAAAAATTCGAATTGAAGCTATTAATATCAAGCCAAATTCATCGAAATTTTGAGGTATTTTCAACTCCTAAACGTGTTAATTGCATTCAGTAGGAAAATTCGGTTGTAATTGCATGTTAAACAGCCCTACAAAATTGAATTATAGGGTTGTTTTGTTTCAAATAGCGCTTGGTACGCCCAAAACGGGCATTCACCAGCCTTTTCGACGCCCGGTTTGGGCGTCCAAAAGGCTTGTGAACGCCCGATTTGGGCGTTCTGTTAGGCTATGAGCGTCCGGTTTGGACGTTCAGTTAGAAAAAAAATAGGTATGAACTGCAAATACCAATTTTCAATCTCCAAAAAGTAAGTCCTCCTAAAAAATATTCTCTAAAGCTATAAAGACAGATGGCTTTTGCTTTTTTCTTAAAAGTTCTTGTGCACTTTCTCGCTCTGAATGTGACGCTAGGTTCGAAGTCTAACAAAAAGAAAAAAAAAATTTGTAACATTGTTTTCCTCTTCAAATTATTGATGACTTTTCACTTAATATTTTCTTTAAATATTATCATTTTTAGTGTCACGCGTTTAATTATTATTATTATTTTTTTACTTTTGGAATATCACCCCGTGCGTCGACAGGGGAAAATACTAATTAATATAACTGAATTGTGTAAATCTTCGCGCCGCATTTACAGAAAAAAGTTAGTAGTGGAAGAGAATAAAAAGAAGAAGAAAAAAAAGAAATAGAAAAAAAAATAAAGGAACGTTGTGTATAAAAAAGAATAAAATACAAATGAGTTTATATGTGTGCTATAAAAGAGGAGAAAAAAAAACAAAAACATTAAAACTAACGTGCATTTTGAAATCCACAAAATAAGGAAAAAATAAAAATTAATTAAAAAATGAAGAAGAAACAAAAATAAATTATTTAAGATTGACTAAAAAAAAGGAGAAAATAAAGGAAATCTTTTTTTTAGAAAAACTGTTTTTAGGGTTTTCCGTCAAAATATTTCAAAAGATAATGCACCGACTTAGTTGTTTTAATAAGTAAAATTAGAAATTAGATGCATTCAACAACACATCAATTTACACGACATCTTAGAAAACTTATTTACAAAGCTTAATTATGTCAACGAGCAAAAGTTTAGAAGAAAAAAACATGTTTTTCGTGTGATTACACTATGAAGCTAGACATCATTGAAAGCTTATAGCATAACTTGGTTACACAGTTAAGATAAGCTGAAGAAAAAAACTTAAATCTCTAGGCGTACATCACCACCAACATTACCATCACCACGACCATAACCAAACAATTCTTCATATTTTTCCGTTTTGGTTTTCATAATTATTAGGTGACCACGGAGATAAATGATTGTAACCAAAATCGTATTTGTGTGTGTGTGTGGTTGTGTATGTATGTATGTAGGTAGGGGTGTGAACGAGCCAAATTTGACTCTTTTGGCAGGCTGGAGCTCGAGCTCGAGCTCGAACTCATCGAGTTCCTTCTTTTTTTTGCTCGAGCGAGCCCAAACTCATTTTGTTTTTCTGTTTTTTTTAAATATAACTTTTAATAATTATTTTATTATTATTAAAATTATTTAAAAAAAAATACAAATAAGCAATAAATTGTAATTATATATACTTTTTAATATTAATATTTTATTTTTATTTAGATAATATTTTATATTATTATACATTATTTAGATAAAAAAAATATATAAAAAAATAAATAAAACTCGCGAGCCGGCTCGTGAGCTCACGAACAATTACAAACTGGCTCCAGCTCGGTTCGTTTGAGAGCTCGAGCTCGAAAAACTCGAGGCCGAGTTGGAGTTTTTTTCGAGCCGACTTATCGAACTCATGAGTCGGCTTGACTCGTTTACCACCCCTATACGTAGGTGTTTGAATTATGTGTGTGTGTGGTTGCATGGCAAAGATTCGATGATGGCAGCGACAGAGAGCGGAGTTGGAGCATATTTATTGGTGGATCGAACGAAGAACGGCGCGTGTAGAAAATTTCACGCAGGCTGAAACGTTAATCTACTAGGTTTATGTTCATAGTCGATTAAGCTAATCGACTATGCTCTGGTAGTCGATTAAGGTTGATCGACTCCAATTTTTTTTATTTTTTTTAGATTTTTTGTTTATTGATTCCAATTGAATAAATCATTTATAATGTTTGTATATTTTTTGTTTTTGTAATATATAGTTGATTTTGCATTTTTTTGCAGTTGTGATTTGTTATTTTTAGTAGCAGTTTCTCAATCGACTGTGCTTCACATCCTAGTGATTAATATATTTCATTGACTCCATTTTTTATTTTTATTTTTGTAATTTTTGTTTATTGATTCGAATAGTATAACTCTATTATAATGTTTGTATATTATTTGTTTTTGTAAAATATAGTTGAGTTTTGTAATTGTGATTTGTTATTTTTTAGTGATCGGTTCCTTAATCGACTATAGTTCATCATAGTCGATTTAATATGCCTCATAGTCGATTAAATAACTGATAGAGGAAAAAAGTTACAAGACGAAAAAAATATAATATTAATAATAATAGAATAATAATAAAAAAAACTAATAAAAAGGAAAGAAAGAAAGCACAGCACGGCTGATGGGTATGGAGATAATGTATAAGGTGGAGGGACATAATTAGAAAAACGAGTAGCTGAAATTAAGAGTGAATTTTTGTCAAATAATGCAAAATATTTGGACATTTCCCTATTAAAATAAGTATTGAGGGGTTATATCAAAGATCACCTCATTTAAAAAGAAATTCATCCAAAAATATAAAAACATTTATCTCGAAAGGCGAAATAAAATAGAAGCCGAGATGAATTGATAATGATCCAATGACTAGAGTACAAAAGCCTGAAACAGACTACACAGTATGATATTATCTGAATTACAAAAACGCGGCACCCCGTAGCTGTTGCCACCGCCCCCATACGTGTCTTCTAAATATTGAAATCCGCCTCTATATAACACCCATTTTTCCATCCTATTCCATATCATTCATTCATTCACTCACTCACTAAATATTTTAATTAATTAATTAATAATAATGGCAAAACACACAGCAGTACTCATGATCCTCCTCCCTTTGTTGGTAATGGCAGTATTCGCCGCCGCCATCGGAGGAAAAGTGGGCGGCCGGACGGAGGTGAAGAACGTGAAAGCCAACAAGGACGTACAGGATCTGGGAAGATACTGCGTCCAAGAGTACAACCGCCAGCTTCAGCAGAAAGCCAACGGCACCAAGCTTCTTGTGTTCTCGCAGGTTGTGGCGGCGGAGACCCAGGTGGTTTCAGGAATCAAATACTATCTCAAGATCTCCGCCGCCACACGCGGTGGCGGAGCGGCCAAGAGTTTTGAAGCGGTTATAGTAGTGAAGCCGTGGATACACTCAAAGGAGTTGGTCAATTTCGCACCTTCCACACCACCCAGCAGAGATACAAACTAGGCATCCAAATTTTGTCTCTTGTCTTTCACTCTTTTTTCAAATTTTGACCTTCTAATTTCTTTTTTTCTTTTTCTTTTTCTTTATTTTTTTCCTTTTGTGAGACTGTGACGTAAGCGTATGTACTAATAATGGGATTATGTTGCCCTGAGAAATAATAATTATTGTCCTGGCCTCAAATTCATCTACAAGACTCATTATAGTTCATATATATATATATGAAATCGTAACAGAAACTAATTTACAAGAGAAAAATCACAATGAAGATGGCAACTAAATTTACCAAAACATAGATGAAATCTAAAATGAGAATATAACAAACAAAAAAAATTGAATGAAAAATCTGAATAAAAGATTTGCTAAAATTATGGAAGTGCAAGATAAAAATCATGATACAGAGTGATTGGAAAATATGTTCAAATATGTATTTTGTGTGTGAAAAGTTAGATCCTGATCATGAATATGAACTGAAACTTTTAACCATGTTTGAAAAGTATAGGGATACATTTTAAAGATTTTCACCTATTATACAAAAACAAGTCCATTTATCTAGGTCACACGAAAAACCTTCCGTACTGAAAAAAAAAAATTCATAGATGGTTCTAGTCGGGCAATTATCATTACCGACCCCACCTAACTGAATATTGAAAACCATTACTGACCCCACCATTATGGATCAAATAATGGTTGACAACAGATTTTGTTTAGTAAAGAATTGACATTTGTAGTATTATCAACCATCTATCTATTCAATTTTGTTTTTCACAATAATAAAATATTTTTAAAAGTTTTTTCAGAAGACATTTACAATTGTGGAAAAGTTTATGTTGCAAAAATCTTAATTTTAAAATTAAGAGTATCTTTTTGTATTAAACTTTTACAATAAATAAATATATAATAAAGAATGTGATATAACAATTTTAAAATAGAAATAGTACATAGAGGTTCATAAATTTGTGTATCGAGTTGTTGAGTTTAACTTCTTTTATATATTATTTTCAGCAAATATTACCTAACCAACCGACTTCTGAATAAACTGACAACTACCAACAGACCCATTTATATTAAAATTACCGGGCCAAAAAAGGGGGTCGAAAGTGAATCAGATAAAACCAAAGTGTCGTCCAGCTCTAGATGATAGTATACCATGACCTTGCTTTATCCAAAGCTAGGAAAATCAACTTGTCCATTTCATCAGAGGAATGCATCTAACTTAACATTTTAAACTTAATAATTAAGTACAGTAGTGCAGTCTCAAATCTACCGAAACTCAGTCAGACCTATGAAATGATAAACTGATAAGTAAGTCTCTTTTGATTTTATCTACAATCCCGTTTCTTTTCCTATACATCTCTAACGGTCATAAGGAAATTCCATGTCGTTCTCAGCAACTTTGAAATGCTGAGGATTTTGACCAGCGCACTGCATATTCCACATCTTGAAGTACGAACGCTCCAGATTCCTCACCTGCGAATAAATAGGTTTACAACGAATGTATGTATGATCAAAATATATAATAAAGCAGTAATGAAACAAAAAGAATCCTTATTAGCAGTTCCCCATAAAAGAACGTAGATATACTAACCCATCGTGCTGTGTCAAAAAGAGGGCAAGTTAAACGCACAGCCTTCAGCCTGTTTGTAAGGTCTCGGAGCTTTGAAGGATTCAGTGCCAAATAAACTGCCTTCTCTTCATACTCTTTCATACTACAAAAATTCAAACACGAGACACAGAGTAGACTTCAGTACCAAATTAGTGTGCAATTTCCTTTTAATAATTCATCGTATGACAAGTACAATCTCGATAGCAAATTTTTTATGTATATATAAGAGTTTTTTTTTCTTCCATGAAATGAATGGTAAGGTAGAGTTACAAAGTTGAGAGACGCCTACCTATGCACAATCATCTCTTCCCCAAGTCCCGTAGCCAAACACAAAGAACCAGCAACTCTGGTAGCCATTTTCTCTAGAGGAAGAGTAACCATAGGTAGACCTGCCCAAAGAATATCTGTTCCGGTTGTATGTGCATTGCAAAGTGGCCTATTCAACACGAAACAAATTAATCAATGAATGGAATTTCATTTAAATTTGATTTTATTATCAAGTCATCTATGTTTGTACAGAAAAAGCTAAGAAAATACATACGTATCAAGAAATAGGTTGGCTAATGCACTGCGTCTGATGTGTTCCTGTTTCATTGCAACATCCGTGAAAATTATTCGGTCAGGTTGAACACCCTGCGCGGCAGCACCTGCACAATAAAAATAAATAAAAATAAGAAATTAACATTTAGATCGAATCACATTTTTATTTTTCACGATTTTTGGATATGATGCCAGGCAGATATAATAAATAACATACGCGCTCGCAGCCTCATCTCGCCTGCAGCTGGAAATTTGAGAAGCCAAAGGACACTATTTGGAACACGTTTAAGAATATTGCACCTGTGCACATATTGAAGATAATTCCTTTAAACATTACAACAATCGTCAAATATCAACTATCTCAAAATGACTTAAACGATATATTACCAAGTCGTAAAAATCTCAGGGTCCATCTTGTAAAGCTGATTAAAACAAGCAAATATAAATTTGTCCTCGGGTAATCCATAATCCGACCTTCTGTGTTGGCATTTTGGATCCAGTACATCAAGGTTTTTCTTAAAGACAAAGCAAAAAACGTAGCAAAGTCAGCATAATTGATAGTCCAGGTTCAAGAAAGAAACAGATAAAAAATTCTCAATGTTTACCTGTTTATAGTCATTCACAAAATAGCAATGAGGTAGATGGACAATCTTTTCAGAGTATATATTTGAGTAGCACATAGGAGAGACAAACTGCAATAGAATTAGGAGAAACTATCAAACCTGAACCAGTCTATAGATTTAGAAATAATGTAATCGGGAAATAGTAAATAAGCTGATGAAAAGGAAGTTATCAAAAAAAAATTCTTTTAACATACGTAAAAGCCAAACAGGTGATATACGAGTAATATTACCTCATCAGTGACCAAATATTGTATGTAGCTTGCTCCTGTAGTACCAGGAAATCCCATATAAGAAACCTGAATTGGAGCAGGCTGCATGGCAAATATTTCATTCCTTGCCCCCTGCAAGAGTACAGATAAAACAACAGCCGTTTCTTTCATATTCCAATTTTAAGGTGGCAGGATCCAGAAACCAAGAAAAAAAAAAAAGAAAGACAAACCAGAAACTTGAGCAATCACACGATACCTTAGTGTAGCCATTAAGGTTGACAAGAATCTGTATCTGGTCGTCATTAATCATCCTTGCAATCATATCAGAAGCCATAGCTGACACATCGATAAAATGCTCCACTTCTGATTGGATACGCAGCCTCCATTCAGTACCATCATTTGGACTTAATGCATAGCAGAAGATCTACAATAACAAGAACGAATATCATTAAAGCAAGAGTGTATAACCAATCTAAAATCTAAAATACATAAAAAAGTGGATAAAAAAAAAGACCTTAAAAAAAACAATCTTGTTCAAGTAACAAGACAACAATCAGATAACTATAGCAATTAAAATACATTAAATAAACTAACCTCAACATTTTCTCTATCGTGCATCCCAAATACGGAACCCATGAGGTGTGATAGAGGGTGGTTACCGAAGTCACTGCTCACATAACTGAGAGAGATGCAACACAGAATTCTTTTGGTTCCAGTAGATAAAAACGAGAATTGGTCTGAAGCACAAACATGGAGATACTTAAATGAACTTACCCGATTCTTAACCGGCTATTTCTGCCACCACCCCTTACAGGTAAGAGTGGAGGATGGGTAAAAGGTGGAAGTGAATAACGGGATGCTACAACTGAACAGTGTGCAGCATATTTCCAACTGGACATATCAAAAACAATTAATTAGAATATTTAAAACTGAAATTGAATAAACCAAACAACATAATGTATGGCAAAGCCTGTTACCTGATCTCCAGTGCAAGCATGGGGTCAAGAGGATAAGCTATTGCATGGAAGGGTTGCACACTTGGAATAACTGACATCTACAATAAATTAAAACAGTAGTAAAATACCACTTGGATCAAATAATGGTGGATAAGAAAAAGTCATGGCTATATTGAATAAACTGAGGGAAGCCAGGACTCTTTTGTTGGTTACAGAGTGACAGGGCTAGAGAGTTTAAATAGATTTTTAGCTAACCTTAATCTGTCTCCTAAGTATCGCTTCGACTTCAATAAACATCTTGTCTCGATCATCCCAGTCGCAGACACACTGAGTTCAATGCCATTGGACAAGATAAACATATTAAAGAAAGCCGAACTAGTTAGCTACTGAGAATAAAATGAATACCATCAATGCAATTATGAATATAAGCTCAGTGCATATGACAATGTAATGCATCGTAAACTAGAAACCCTCCTAGGAAACATCTCACCGGCTCATCCCACTGAGAATAAATCCAATAAAATCATAAATAATACCTCAGTTTACAAGAGAATGTAATGCAATGCACCATAAACTACAAAACCCCCCAACAACTGTTTAAATGTTAACTAGAACTAAGAATCACCACTCATGGTAGCCTGGTACGTTGGAGTATAGGCCAGCTACAACATTCGAAGGCAATGTGCAGTTGTCAGACTCCATTGAATGATGATGTAAAACATGCTAAGTGTCCTTGTCACTATATAAAAGTAAATCAATTCTCTTGACCTGAAAATGCAGTTCTAACAACCATGTAAATAATTATTTCATCCGGAAATCTTACAATCTACTCTGTACCGACGAATTTTAAGTTTCTCTTTTATACATTTCTTGAAGTCATCGTGTTTAAGTAAACCTCACCAACATTCCCCAAGTAATATCCCAACAGTTAAGATATGATTTGAAAATGAATCAGAAGATGTAATCATGGTAGTTAGAAAAGTTCTGTGAAAACTCTCATTTTTGCAGAATATGCCATCATGGAGGACTAAGAATGTGGTGTTCGTACAATGTCTGATTCCTAAGGTGATCATTGAACATTTGGTTGACTTTCCAAGCAAAGTTAAACAAACAATAATGGTCAAACATCCCTTGTATCAACACAATCAGCTCAAAAACCTTATAATTAAACTGAACCCCTAACCTGAATCTGTGACATGTTCAGCTAGATAGAAAAATCAGAACTACCAACTTTGTCCAATCTGATACCCGATGACTTGATCTCTTATGCTTTTCTACTAATTGACATTACATCTAATTGAATATACATCAGAACCCTCACTGTCCAACTGTGAACTTCTTTTTTGTTATCAAACCCAGTTTCCAATTCTATGAATTTATTACACACTTTTACTTCCAAGAATTACATTACTTTTTATGAGGAAATTAACTGATTGTGCATACCAATATAACAATAGATTTGAAAACTAGCAGAAACCAAAGATAATTTTTAGTGAAGAATAGCCACAATCACAATGTTGTCAGGTAAACTTCCTTGATTAACATAATCTATACTCAAACTTCAAGAAAGAGCGAAAAACTGGAAATAAGTCACACACACCTGCAAAGTGTGAAGAAGGTTACAAGTTGCCTCTGGAAAATCTGGACGCAATGTCAATGCTTGCTTATAGCTTTTAATCGCAGCTTCCACACGACCACTGCAGGTAGAAAAACAAAGGTATGTAAGGCATTATGTGACACATTAATCAAACCATAAGTAGGCTAAAAATTTCCTGGTAACAAAAATATGCTTGATCCATGGAAAATCCTAAATAAAGGTATTTAAAGCATTACGTGACATATTAATCAAACCATAAGTAGGCTAAAAATCTTCTGATAAAATAAAAATGCTTGACCCATGGAAAATCCTATGTTTGCTTAGAGATTTTAATGATTACTTCTACACAATCTATGCGGGCAGTGGCGGAGGTAGACGAGCCATGCACGCCAACCCCCTTCTCTCCCAACTTTTATTACTGAGTAGTAAGTTCTATAGTACTGTGGCCCCCCTAAAAACTTTAGCAATTGAATTATATACGGGACTGAAATTTTTTAACCTATAATTCAAGACGAACACCAAGCCATTGCAATTAAGTATGATATTATATCAAGTGGATACCTTTTATTCGATAATTAATTCTCAACGACAAGAGTTTGATAGCAAGTTCAGTAAGAAAACGGAACTTTCCCTTTGATTTCATATTTGGATCCTCGGAATGTGCTTTTTAAGTCTTTTAAATTGATGAAATTTGTAACAAGGCAGAAATAGAATCTTTTTGAGATTGGAACTACACCATTTTGAGATTGACCTATTCCAGCATGAAGGTCATAGCAAATTGTTGATCGTTTCTGAAATATGTCTTTTAGTGGGTGAAGACAAAAAAGTCAGACATATCAAAATTCTTTAGAATTTAGATTGATCAAACTTGTACGCATTTTTTGAGTAAGATCTATTGCGACAATAGACCGTGCATTGTCACAAGCATTTTAAGGAATGAATTAAGTTCCAAACATTTTCTTTGATTGATCAAACTAGTACATATTCTTCTAATAATATTACTTCGGCAGTGGAGTAAGCAATTTTAGCAAGAAATGAAGTTGAAAAAAATGTTGAAATAAAATGGAAGATGGGGGAGAGAGATAGTTGAAACATGGAGTACGGACTCGATCACTGATGGATTTATGACATGAAAGAACGCTGTGCAATTTTCATAAATGTCTATTGGCGACTACATATGTACCTGTCCTTGTAAGCAGAAGCCAAATTAGCATGAGCCTCGGCCATGGTTGGCCGGATGGCAATAGCATGCTGATAGTCTTGAATTGCTTCATTAACTCGCCCGATTTCTTTGTAAGTATTACCCCGGTTCACAAGGCCATCAACTGCTGCTGGATCGATTCTGAGGACCTCATTATAGCAAGATATTGCGTCTCCATAATTACCCTGTAATTTTTAATCAAACAAAATTAGTAGCATCTTTCTATTCAACATCATGCTAAAGAGTGAATAAAGAATTGATATCATCATTAAGTCCTGCAACGGCTCCTAGCCGAACATAACTACTACTGAAATTCTAAAGATGCTGCTGTTCGACGATTTTAACGAAAATAGATTGGAATCAAACCTGTTGTTTGTATATTATAGCTAAATTATTGAAAGGAGCAGCAAGCCCTGTTGTAACAGATAGTGTTGCCTTATAGCATTGAGCTGCAGCACTCGTCATGTTCCTAGGAAGAATTCAAAGATTGGGATTACCAACATAACAGAAAAAATGAGGGGAAAGAAGCATGCGATTATGAACACAAATATATCATGTTGGTGTAAACATACCACTCCATATAAATATTTCCAAGATTGACAAGGGCTTGAGGGTGACTAGGTTGAAGAGACAAGCATTGCTTCATTAACAAACAAAATGGTTCTCAGTATATACGAAAAAAAAAATGCAGAATAAGTATTATGATAACATTGAAAGAGAACTAACTCGGTAGCAATGGATTGCTTCCTCTACTCTTCCAGCGTCTTTCAATGCATTACCCTGGCAACACAGGTGCATCCAAAAGAATTAAAAAATTAACCAGTTATATTCATCATAATTATGTAAAACAGGAAAAATATTGAACGGATTCTTCATGTAGTAGAATTGTAATACAAACCAAGCTATTATATGTCTCCAGGGATCCAGCATCACAAGCAATAGCTCGCTTGTAGTTAAGTATTGCCATATCAAGGTTGCTCTGTTCATAATATATACTGCCCAAGTTGCCTGCAGTAATTACTTTATAAAATCAAAACTCCAAAACAATTTGACAGTGACATTAACCACTTTACTACGAAGAATTTCTAAAAACTTCATGGGTGAAAAATGCAAACTTTAGCCATTTGTATCTCCTCCAAACCAGACAGGAAGCATACTACCTGGTTACCACAGGAAGACAATGGCTGGATATCAATTATAGCAGCTAAAGTTTATGTACTACTATACTAGTAGGAGTGTGCATGTGCATAGTTATTTGAAAGAATAAACCGATAGATCTTTTACTACATAATATAACTTCCATTTCACTTACTAACATACAAGTTTGATAAATTTTAGTATATTAGAAGAGATTAAAAAGAAGGTGGTGATCATGAGAGAGGATGTGAAACTTAGTTGAGAAAGAAGAAACACAAATTTTATATATCCTTCTTTTTCACCTTTCTTTTACTTATATTGGACAAAGAATATCTCAAAAAGTGTATCAGAATTCATAAATACTGCACTCAAAAAGGTCAACCTACATGTAATGCCAGCCGAAAAACACTCCGGTTAACAGTGGAGATAACAGTCTAACACATTTACCACAAAATATTCCAGATACGATCGCTTACCAAAAGCCATAGCACTGTCTGGTCGTGACTGCAGGGCTCGTTGATTACATAAAATAGCCTCTTGTGGCATTCCCAAGGCCTAGAAAACACAAAGAATACTTGTCTCTCTGTCCTTGCCTTTGCAGCTACCCAACCTCAGAAGAAAAATGCAAGAAACTTACCTTGTAAACATTTCCCAAATTCAAGTAGGCTTCGGAGAAGTTTGGCTTAAACTTGATAGCTTCCTAGAAATAGAATGGAACCATGTAAGAAGGACACCAAAAGGCTATACAACCGAACATATGCTACCATGTATCCAAAATACATATTACTACCTTGTAATACTGCAAGGCCCTGTTTAGATCACCAAGCTCCATAAAAAGACCAGCCAGATTAGACCATGCTATAGCGAAAGTGGGTTGTATCCCAAGTGCGTCCAAATAACAATTGTATGCCTGAACAAGAAATATAGATAATATTATTTTGAAATGAAGAATGATTAACTTAAGGCACAAGTTGAGATCACAAGCTGCTTTGGAAAAAAAGGAAGTGCATCAAGAAGGAAAGCATCTCAGAGGAGACCAAATTCTTGCACGGAAAGATGATTAAGTTTCAAGACCCAATATAGATATAGAGAGATAAAATTCAGCATCTGTTGGACAAAAGAAAAATATCGAAGGCCAGAACTTGAACGCAATAATCTAGAAGCTTAATATCCTATTATATCATCTTATTGCTTCACATAATTCTACATCAAATCAGACTCATAAAAGAATTAGACCCAGGATATGAAAGCCAGTATGAAAATACATGCCATCTGGTATCTTACCTCTTTCATTAATCCTTGAGCTTTCATCAAATTCCCCAGGTTACTGTGAGCATCAACCTAAAACAAACACAGGTTGAAATAATAGGAGAAAATCTACAAAGTGGAACTGATACTATAGAAACCACATGCGGAAATTTACCAAACGAGGATTTAGGGTAAGAGCTTGACGACAACATTGAGCAGCCTCTGATGGCCTTGCTTTGTGCATATAAGCACTAGCTAAGTTTGACCATGCATCCGCAAAATTAGGCCGAAGCTGCAAATAAATTTGAAGAAAGATGGTTATTCGTGCAAGAAGATGAGAACATGATCTCTTACCAATCTTCCTCAACCACCCACCTTTCCTTACCTTGCATTTTGTTCATATAAGAAAATATAGAGGTAATACACAGCCAATAGCATACAATTAAAGTACAATGCAATCAGCCAAACCAACGAGGCAAGCGTAACTATACAGAGAGTGTAATTTGACAGAAGCTCGATTCTGTTTAAGACCTTAAAATTATGTATTTGGGCATGAGTTATCCTCGAAAAATAATATGAGCTTACTTAGCGAAGCAGCTAATCTCTTGGATAAATTAATACGCAGAAACAACTGATTATGTGGTCATGATGATAGCGCAGATTGGCAAATAGACATCTCTGGGACATGAGTTATCATTAAGATGTGTGCAAGTTTTCTTGCCTTTTGTAAAATTCAAAGATACATAAATAGTACTTAAAGCTAGAGCAGGTCATAGCACGCTTAACTTCACACCGCAATGACTACTTAGAGAAAGGTAAAAACCAAAAAGGTCTCCAACAAGAATTCAATCCGAAAGAAAGTAGAAATCAATTAAGTAAAGGAGGAACCTTCGAAACAAACCCACTCCGTCAGTACTAAATCACAACAACTTCATCCAGAAAGTTAATTAGGTAAAAGTAATGATGACTATGAGAAGTTAACCAATCAACACCAGTTTTGGATGGTGAAGTATAACAAATAGAATGTCAGAAGCTATCTAGACTTTCACCAAGATCACTGTAGTTAATAATCTCTCCATCACGTATCACATTAGAAGAAATCTTAAGGGCAATAAATCATTAATATCCTCCAGACAATTATCTCTGAAACTGTTATTACACCGATGCATCTTCAACGATCCATTTCAATAAATATCTTATCCTCAAACATAACAGATATTTGCTTTCACACTATAAAACTTCTATACGTTCACAAAAGGACATAGTGGCATGGTGAGTTGGCATGCCTTCACAAAAAGAAGCACCAAAAACATGGACCATAATGAGGTTTATTTAAATCTCAAGCTTCTCAAAAAATACGTAAGAGATTTATGAGGCTTTGAATATAATGTAATAAATACAGTACAAATTTCATAAGTTCAATTATTTGGTGGTTTATAGAGACATATAAAAAAGACATGGGACATTGGTTCAACTTTAATCTCTCAGCAACAGGTAATTGTTCTATTTTTAATATTTATACATTTCGTTTTGCATTTCTAGTGGACTGGGCAAGAAAATACAATTCAAAATCTATCATAAAGGCAGACGGACCTCAATGGCAATCATGTAATAACGAATGGCTGTATCAAATTCGCCTTTCTCCTGCCAGCAAAAAAAGAGAGCAACAGAAATGACACATCAGCATCTCCATTGCCGAAGAAGCAAGAATCTGTAAAGACACAAACATCATACCTTCCAAGCATTTGCCATGTTTCCATAGCACTCAGCAACCTGCGGATCAATCCGAAGAGCTTCTTCATTCTTGGCAATGCACGAATCAAAGTCGCGTAACTAAAAAAATGGCACAAATCTCAGCTTCAAATATTGGTGAAGTCCAAAGATGCCGATAAAAATAACAAGAATGAACCAAAAAGTAACCTTATAATAAACTGCACCCAACAGAAGAAGGTTATTAGTGCGACGTGGATTCCTCTCATATACAATCGTGCAATGTTCTAGGGCCTGCTTATAGTTGCCAGCTTTGTAATTTTGATGAGCATGGTTCAAGAGCATGTCTTCATCAACTGCATCACATGAAATAAGGAAGTTACACACAAAAAAAAGTAACTTGACTTCAAATGGAAAAGAGCCGCATTTACAGCACTAAAATAAAATGGATATACTGGCAGTTAACTGTTTCGGAAAAAGAAGAGACATAGAAGCATATGGTGATCTGTTGAAACCCTCTAATCCTTGGTTACGACACACTGTTCCCTAGAGTGCGTTTGACAAACGTACCGTGTATTTATTAATATTATCAATAGTTAAGATAAGAAATTCATATATATATTAGTAATTAAGTAAGTGATATCTTTAATTAGTAACTAATACATAAATACATAATCGAGAATGAGAACGAGGGTGGACAATACATAATGCACAAGCACACAGTAAACTACAAACAAAATATCTCGCGCACTTAATATTTAAATTACATATAATGATCAATTGATTAAAATAGCATTATATTATTCATTCCCATCTACATATACCACGGCAGAATAATTCATTTGAAGTTAATCAACAATTCAATCAGAAAGAGGCTATGTACGTATAGACATATTTTATAGGGACTTAGTGGGTAAGGAAATGAAAAGATGAGCGACCGCCTAGGTCGCTCATCGCCTGCTATCAGGCGACCGGCTAGGAAGCGCCTATTCATTTTTACACGCCTGAGGTACTGTTAAGTGAAGCATAAATATTTCGCCTCGCCTGGTTACCTCATGACAACACTGGCGACTAGGAATTACTAGAAGCATAGAAAGTCAACAAAATTAGTAATTAAAGAGGTGATCTGTATAGAGAAACCGACTTTTGTTAGGAGAGATTACAATGATAAGGTAACAAAGCTTAACCTCATTCCTTTGCTCGATTGTTTGTTCGACTGCATAAGGGTAACCTTTCCTTTTGTTTTGCTGTTCATCTCTAGGTAATTAAATCCCCTTGTACCACGTGTTAGTAAATTTATTAACCTTGTTCATTCAACTTCTACCAGTTAACTCAGGTCAATTTCAAACTAATATCTATTTCTAAAATGTTAATTAAACAAAGAAGTATTTTTTTATGCATAGAGACATGGTGATTTCGATTGATAAATGAATTTTTTTGTAAGCAATAAATGAATCTTGATATCTAGAGATCAATTATTTGCAATCGTTTTAATACTTAATGACGCATTTATGTTACTTAAAAGCATCTTCCAAAGTGTATGACACATGGGTTCGGCAAAGTAGCTATATACTCTTAACCCCTAAGTACCATACCTGCCCTCTGCTAACAGAATTTTATTTCCTATTGATTTGCCATTTCACACACCATCCACTAACTGATGTGTCACACTAGGGAATGTTTATTTGAATTTTGAACATGCATGTCGTGATAGGTTAACATAAAGGTCCAGAATATTAACCATCTCTTGTTACAACCATGAACACACAGAGCCTAATATCCATTATAAAGAGTCATATTCTAACTCAGATAACAACCAACAAAAATAAAATTAAAAGAAAGTTTGCAGTAAATATCTTAATAATGCTGGAAATAGATAAGACCACAGAAATATTTTCCTTCAGCAGTCATTCCAAATCAATTACAATAAATGTTAAAGCACCACCTTATCTTTAAATTCTCCTGAACCAGTAAAAAAAAGGAAAATCAACCAACTTTGTCCAGGAACCTAGAATATAATTTAAAACAACTTAGGATGAGGCTGGGCATACTTACGGCACTGAAAGTATTATATTGACCAGGTCTAAATAAATGCTTAGATGTGCCATCTCATTCAGAGTAAAACAGGTTCTGCTTGTAAAAGACGTAGGATAATCAAACGGAAAATTTTGTTTACTTAGACAAAGTAATTTTCCCTTTTTAATGATTGATAAAGATTTTTGTTGTTAAAAAACACAATGAAAGGGAAAATTTAAAACTTTTTATGATTATAATAGATAGACAAAGTTCAGTTACACTCAGGAGGTTCTTAAGTAAACAATGGATTTACATTAAAACCAATGCGTAAAGGAATTTTTTGTTCCTAAATAAATTCTAAACGTACAAAAACTGAAATTCACGACCTTTATATTATTGTGGAATGTCGGTCGAGTTCAAATCCTAATGTACCAAGCATTCAGTATATAACTGAAAGTTGAAACACACTCAAGAAAAACAAACTTCAGATAGTCAAGGTAACTTTGTGGTATATATATAATGGAAAGACATATAAATTTTGAAGTGTTTCCAACATAACAACTTTTGACCAAACACAACTGTTATTAATATCAGATATCCATAATCTTCAAAATCCAAGAAAGCAATTTGTTTTTATTCCAGGGAACAATTAACTGAAAAATAAGCCTCTTGCAAGAAACAGAAGCAACAATCATCATGGCATGATTAGTCGGAAGTATATCAACATATGTCTAAACAACGTTCACAATCCACCGACATAAGAGAAATTATTGGACGATAAAATCTCAGATAAGGGCTTTAAAACGTTTCAGGCAAAAACATACAAAAATAAATATGAAAAATGGAAGCTTAACCGAATCAACGAATAATGAATTTTCCCAAGTAAGATGTCTAGGTCATCAAATTCAGTAGAAAGTGGAGAAAATCGCACAGGAATTACCCCAACCAAATGCTTAGATCATCAAAATCACAGCCTACAAAAATGATTTAACTATAAAATTTCACTGTGGGGGACATAGTATCCAGTAAAAGAGCTAGAAACATTCTGGTGGGACTCGAAACCCTAATTCTTATAAACACACGAAGAATTGGAAGTGTAAAATAAATCACCACATTTCATTGCAAAAAGAGACCATAAACAAAATTCCCAAAATTGATTATACAACAAAGAAAAAAAAAAGGGAGTATAAAAAATCAAATTCCAAACCTTCACAAGAAAGCTCTTGCTTGAGACTACTCGGGAAGGTCAAAGCAAATGAAGAATCTTCCCGAAGATGATCGGTGCCGAAATTATAAGGAACCCTAGCCACATTTTGCTGATGCTGATGCTGATGCTGCTGCTGATGCAGATTCAGATTGTACTGCCGCGGATCGCTCTGCAACGACAGCATGCTTTCTGATCCTTCCGGCTGCGATCACCGCCGCCGAACTATAATCATATATAAATTAATAATTTGGGGAAAAAAAAAAGGAGGGAAAATTGTTCTACTTCACAAGGTTTTTCTCATGGAAAATTGGAGGAATTGGATTTACTATAATATTATATTCCTCAGCTTAGGAGAGAGAGAGTGTTTGACAGAGAGAGATCTAAATAAATAATGAAAAAAGAAAAAAGGAAAATGGGACCAAAATGGAAGAGAGAAGAAATAGAGGAAAAAAAGGAATAGAGAGAGAGAGAGAGAGAGAGAGAGAGAATCCCCTTTTCTTCGTTTCAGTGTTCTCTTCCTTTCGGTTACTCTCTTTTAACAGCGATTCCTCTAGAACACGGTGAAATGACCTTTTGCCCCTTGCTTTTACTATTTATTTTCTACACCTGGCACACCGGTTGGGGGGTGGGGGTGGGGGGAGAGTTTCAACAATGGAAGAGAAAGAAAAGAAAAGTAGATTTTAATAGGAATAGATTCTCCTGAAATTGATCCCAAAGAATTGATTCGACTTTATTGTGATTTGTTCATACTTCAAAGCTTTAATAATTCTTATTCTTTGAGGTAGTATCATCGAAATTACAATGAAGTTTTAAATGAAAAAAAATTTATATTTGTCATTTTGCATTGTTATTCAGATTAAAAAAATCAAAGATATGCATTAATTATAGCAAAAAATCAAAGAACACGAGTTGTATTGTTTTGATTGAAATCATACCATATCACGATATATATATCACGGTATATGAAGAGATTAACTACCCTGCTTGTATATTACTGTCTCCGACCGTAATATTATTGTCTCATGCAATAATATTACTGTTTGGGACAGTAATATTAGTAATAATACTATTCCGCAAAGTAATATTCATAATATTACTGTCTCAAATAGTAATATTACTGTCTGAGACAGTAAATTAGCAGGCAAAGACAGTAACATTACTTAAAATATTTTTTTTAGGCGGCGACTATATGCAATCGCAAAATTTACTTAGGGCAAGATCAAATTAAATATTATACCAAATTAAGTGTAAAAAGATTATAATGGCCTTAGTAAAATATAAACAAAATAAAAGTTTATTCTATCAATTACTCTTGCAAGACCATTCTTTTTTTTTTTAAATAAAAAATGAAAACACAATTGGAAAAGGGAGGGAAGAAAGAAGAGGACCACTTGCAGATTCGCCGCCGCGCCGTAGTTGTCGCCGTCGCCAATGAAGTCGACCACCGCCTTGTAAAACATCGACACACTGGTGTCGAATTTTCACTAAATTTCGACAATAAGTTGTTGTCGATTATCTGCACTTTTTCGACATTTGTGTGTCGATATTTTGTTCAAAATGCAACATCAATGTGTCGAATTTTAGCAATTCAAACGACATGCTGGCGTTGATTTTTTTCAGAAATTGAAAAATTCGACTTTATAATGTTGTTTTTATAGTTACATATCGACATGTAAACGTCGAATTTTTGTGTACGGAAAATTATTTTCGAAAAATGAGAAAAACGATCACAAAGCTTAAGAAAGTACAATATTTCTTATCACATTGTGTTCTTCGACCTTAGAATCATCCATATTGATGTCTTGTGTGTCCATGTCCTCATTTGCAAGTTTTAGTAAGATTTGAGGGTTTTGGATAAAGTGAAAGAGTTTTTATGGAGAAAATGTGTAGAATGGGTGTGAAGAAGAAGATGTTGGGTTTTGTTGGTGAAGAAGAATGGTCATTTTTCATATTTTTATTTTTATTTTTTTTGGTCTTGTAATAGCAATTAGGCCTTTTTTTGAATGAATAATATCAAAAGGTTATGTTTGTAATTTTCAGTCATACTCTTAGTAAATTTATCTATATTTTGGTCTTGCATGAAGTAAGGTCTTGCCCTTAAAAATTTTGAGATTGCAAATAGGTGTTGCCGTTTTTTAAGGGAAAAAAAAAGTCAACGGCGGTTGACTGATCGGAAAAAGAATTCAGAAAAAAAAAAGTTTTCAAAAAAGAAAAAAATCAACGTCGGAGAACCGCCAGGGTCAACACCAGAATCTGGCCGAAAAAAAAAATTCAGAAAAAAAATTATTTTCTGAAAAAAAAAGTTATTTTTTCAAAAAAATATTAAAATGGAGGTTAATGAGATATATTTGTTTAAATCCGGGGTCAATGTGTAATATTGAGAAAGTTAGAGTATAATGGATGAAATTGATAAAAAATATATTATGGAGGGTATTTTAGACTAAAGACGTAGGGATGGGTTTACTTGAAAGATTGTCTTGTGTGTTGACCAATGTGCATTTAAATCCCTTGTCATGTCCCTCTTTGTCATTTACCTAATATTTTATTAGTTTTAATAGTTTAGGTGAATGTAACGGATATATATATATTTGGGTAAATTACACCCACACCCCTGTGGTATGCTTAAATAACTGTAAGGTCCCTGTGGTATCGATAATTACACTGACCCCCTTGAAACGTAGTTATAAACTCTAATGGGATAATGCATTGGATACGTTATTACGATAGAGTTCTAACGGACTATTGGTTTCAGGAAGTGGTGGAGACAACAAAGAGTTATGGGTGATTTAAGAAATATTGGGGGAGCCATGTCACCCTATAACTCCCCATAACTCTATGTTATCTCCACCACTAGCTGAAATTAATAGTCCATTAGAACCCTATCGGAATAATGTATCCAATGCATTATCCCATTAGAGTTTCTAACTACGTTTCAGGGGGGTAAGTGTAATTATCGATACCACAGGGACCTTAAAGTTATTTAAGCATACCTCAGGGGTGTGAGTGTAATTTACCCTATATATTTAAGGATAATTTGACAAAACCACCTCATTACACAAGTGCAATTACAATGAACTCAAATTTATTTTGTATTTTTAAGATAAATTCAAAATATCTTTTATTAATAAAAACTAATTAAATATCACCATTATACCCTTATCTTAATATAAAAGGTATCTTATGGTAGAACATAAATATACGTAATATTTGTTTCTCTCTTTTCTCTCTCTAGATCTGATTTTCTCCATTTTTTCTCTTAGGGTAGAACATAAATATACGTAATATTTGTTTCTCTATTTTTTCTCTCTAGATCTGATTTTCTCCATTTTTTTCTATTGACCATTGCGCCTCTCTCTTCCCGTTCAGCCAACGTTTCTGTCTCTCTCTTTCCACCGGCGTCGCCCCCGCCCCTCTTTCCTCTCTCTCTTCACCGGTCGCCGTGCAATCTCTATGCGGTGGTAAAAAAAGGTATTTTTTTGTTGTTTCAAACATCTTTCTATGGTGTTTAGGGTTTGTGGGGCATAATTATAAGGGTTAATCACAAAAAGGCCCATGACAAGGGCACTTAATTAAAAGAGGGACATCCAACTTTTTTGTCTGTCAAATAAATCCAACTCATTCAAACTTATTTGCAAATAAGGAAAATCCTTTTATATATACCAACATTACCCTCAATTCATTGAAACCCAATTCAACTCAAATTTCATGATTTACACCCCAATTTCACCAATTAACCAATTTTAACCATAATTTCAATTTTGACCCCAAATTTGACCCGCCACCACGGGATACCGCCGGTCGCCGCAGTTGACTTTTTTTTTTTTTTTTTTTGAAAAACTTTTTTTCCCTAAATTTTTTTTCCGACCGGTCAACTGCCGTTGACTGCCATGTCTCATGCGTTGACTTTTTTTTTTTTCTTAAAACAAAATATTTTAATTAATATTACTATCTTGGCTGCTAAATTACTGTCTCCGGCAGTTATTTAACTGTCCGAGACAGTAATTTAACTGGTAATTGACTTTTTTTTTTCTTCAAAAATATTTTAATTAATATTACTGTCTTTGCTGCTAAATTACTGTCTCCAGCAGTTATTTAACTGTTAATTGATTTTTTTTTTTTTAATTAATTACTGTATTCGTTGCTAAATTACTGTCTCCAGCATTAATTTAACTGTCGGAGACAGTAATTTAACTGTTAATTGACTTTTTTATTCTTCAAAAAATATTTTTAATTAATATTACCGTATTCGTTGCTAAATTACTGTCTCCGGCAGTTATTTAACTGTCGGAGACATTAATTTAACTGTTAATTAGCTTTTTTATTCTTAAAAAACATATTTATAATTAATATTACTGTATTTGTTGCTAAATTACTGTCTCCAGCAGTTATTTAACTGTCGGAGACAGTAATTTAACTGTTAATTGATTGTTTTATTCTTAAAAAAATATTTTTAATTAATATTACCGTATTCGTTGCTAAAGTACTGTCTCCAGCAGTTATTTAACTGTCGGAGACAGTAATTTAACTGTTAATTGGCTTTTTTATTCTTAAAAGACATATTTATAATTAATATTACTGTATTCGTTGCTAAATTACTGTCTCCAGCAGTTATTTAACTGTCGGAGACAGTAATTTAACTGTTAATTGACTTCTTTTTTTTTTTGAATTTTTTTTTCTTAAAAAAATTATTTTAATTAATATTACTGCATTGGCTGCTAAATTACTGTCTCCAACAGTAATTTAACTGTCTTAGACAATAATATTAATAATATTACTGTTCGGGAAAATAATATTCGTAATATATTACTGTCCCAAACAGTAATATTACTGTCTGAGACAGTAATTTAGTAGGCAAGACAATAATATTAATTAAAATATTTTTTTCTAAAAAAAAAATTCAACAAAAAAAAAGTCAACGCCGGAATCTGGCCGGAAAAAAAAATTCAGAAAAAAAATTATTTTCTGAAAAAAAAATATTTTGGGGGTTAATGTGATATATTTGTTTAAATCCGGGGTCAATGTGTAATATTAAGAAAGTTAGAGCATAATGGATGGAATTGATAAGAATTATATTATGGAGGGTATTTTAGACTAAAGATATGGGGATTGATTTAATTGAATGACTGTTTTTTTTGTGGACCAAAATGCATTTAATTCTCTTGTAATGGGCCTTTTTGCTATTCGCCCTAATTATAATTGGGGGTGATTTTTGTGTAAATTAATTAATCAATTTCACGGTGAATTTGTGAGAATGTAGTAATTGGTATTGTGCATGAAGATGTAGCTTTGATGAAAAAGTTAGGCTTATATGCTTGAGGTTTTCGATTGTATGGACCAAAATAATGGAAAATGTATTCTAATTAATTGCATATATATATATATATATATATATATATATATATATATATATATATATATATATATA